GTTTTATTGATCAATTACATCGTGAAAGTGACAATTGATATTTAGTTTTCGCTAAAAATGGAAACTGGTTTAATTCGGTTTCGTCCTTTTTTACCTTCTCTGATACATTTTTAAAGATTTTTTTCTTTTTCTTTATTTGATTCAGAACAGTATAGATAGAACTTTATCTGATATATCATTGTGTAAGGGTTCAAATTAGATTAATTCAGTGCAAAAGTGAATTATGATATTAAGTACACACTTAAATATACGTCTGTTACCCAAAATAGTATAACGTGTACGTATTCATTTGTATATTACATCAATAATTTAGAATAAATACTGTATATGTTGTATGTTGTTTTCCTAATGTTGTCTACTAAGGACTAATTAGGTTTGTTGTAACCATCACATATCTTGACGTACACGTATTCTCTTTCATTTATTTTTGTCATGTTCTCAAATTACCTTGGCTAGTGTGAAGACAATAAAATAAAATAAAAAAAAAATAAAAATAAATAAAAAAAAAAAAAAAAAAAACAGAAAATTCTAGAAAGGATGCATCTATTGAAAATATTAAAAAAAAAAGTTTTTTCAATGTTAAGTTAGATAAGACCGATGCTCGTTCATATACGTGGTCTTTTCGTTGCCGGTAACCTTATTCTTATTTCGATAGGTGTCTTCAGTGAAGCAGTTGTTTGTATCCTTCTGGAACACCATGTCATATTCTCGAATTTGAAGATACGTTGCCCGTGATGAGTTACAGCAAAATGAAATTTAAGAGATCAGTATTATTTTTCCTACCTAGTAATTACTGCTTTTGGATCATATTGCTCATTTCTTTTTAAATTGATGTCAACATATATCAACTCAAATTGATTTTGATGAGTTGTTCAAAGTACCAGAGCTGTGCTTTCGAGACGTTAGAAATGTAACCTTCAAGCACGAGAATTGTTCCAATAAAAATCTGAAAATGACTAATTACGTAATTAGTAATGCCTAATACAATTAGTGACAACTTATATTGATGATTAGTTGTAATCCCTTTTGGCGAAAATGAAGACGTCAGAGTCAATTATTTCAATATTATATAACGTATTCAACATTTTTTATAGTGCTAGTGAAACTGAAAAAACCAGAATCAATTATGTATAGTCTAGGGATATACTGTATAGTTCAAGAAATTTATGGATTCTGTGGAAAACTAGGACAGAGAATGGGTGAAACGAGATTATGCTGAGTTGGATTCACTTTCTGAATGTGTTAAATCCATTCGGTTCATCACTCTTAAAAGAATTTGCAGCTTGAAATATGAAATGAAAACAAAACCTGGTAATCTTTCATATATCCTGATTTTAAATCCACACTTCCAGATTACATGACCGGTATGTTATTGTGCCTGCAGATAGAGCGTCTAATAAACGTATTCTTGTCTGCAAACATTATTACATTTGTATACAAAAAGAACTAGGCATGCTTGATATCTTAGGAAAGCCAACCTATACATTATTCTATCTTTCCGAAGACGAAATACTGGTTGATCATGCTTCGGTATTACAATAATTAAGTTTGCCTATTAATGATTAGGAAATGGACTTCCTCCGTTTCTACTGAATCCCAACCTTCCCAAAATCCCTAAAGACAACGTTCTATTGCTGTATCTTCAAGCTGTTAGCACAAGCCTTTGTCAAAAATACCAACTATTGTTCTAAAAACTAGCAAATCTGGGTTACAGTCTTATTGTGTAACAGTTTACTCAAGACATGGAATAAATTGTACATGTATGTAAATTTCAACTACTTCAAACTGCATTTGACGCATCTTCAATACTTTCTTCTAAAAACCCCTTTTCTATAAGAATATTGTAACTTTTCCATACAGTGGAGAAGTGGTTCTGTTGAGAATTGGAACATTATTGACAACAGTGTAAGCGCCAGGCATATTAACGGAAATCAAAAGCGTCCAAATCAGTGCAGTAAGAAGACAATGAAAGGCTCTGGAAATTTACGATTTAAGAGGAAATTCAATACTGGCAACGCTGTAAGGACTTCTAGGAATATCATGTGTTGGCTTTCAAGTAATTTGACCGTGAAATGTATCTTTACTTTCAACAAACAGTTGAAATTTAACAATTTGAATCTATTCTCAAAATGTTTACATTAATTAATTGATCTCGATGAAATCCATATAACTATAATTCTGGAAACATGTATTCTATACATGACATATTGCAAGATATATACCGCCTTATGCAACGAGATCACCATGTCTTATTGACAAAAAATTGAAAGGAATGTAAATTAAGCGCACAATTTGATAAGACAAGTTTGATTGTATAAGAAATGAAAAGAAGTTAAAGGAAACAGATAATGCATATAGTTATCAAATGCCAAGGGACAAGAAATTGAATACCACTTCTTTTTGTGCAATCTTTGGCCTTTATATAATCATTCTTTTCATTTTTGTTTTTTAACGTTGTACATTATTATCATACTATCAAACTTTGTGGATATCAATAAAGGTTTCCTTGAAATAAGATATTTAGATATTGATTATCCAATACGGATTATTCCCCTTGTCTTAGAATTTGTTTGGTGGTAGCAAATAGTGCGCTGCCTTTTTTCATAGATATTCGCTTTAGTAACTGGAAATATTGGTGTTGTTGAAAAAAAAACAGCAATACTTCTGAAGTCTGATTTCAATCTGTTTTAAATTTGAAATACGTATGATGTATTGTTAAATTTAATCATGGATGAAAGTAACGGAGAAGATAAAAGGGAGATAACACAGACTTATCGAGAACCAACAGAATAACAGTCAACATGTTAAAAGAAAAAATGTCTTTTATGTGAATAGCATATATGTTCGTGGTACTACGTATTGTTTTTCCATCGTTCTCTCTATTATAACTTAATGAAAGTGTTTATGATTTTATCATCATGCCGCTGATAAATAATGTTCAAATATATCAGAAAACATCTAACGATGACCATAATGCAATATTTCTTTAACACTGACGCATTTATGTCGAAATATTGTTTAACTTTGCAATCAATTTCCCATTTTTCTGATAAAGCAGATGTTTCCTGAAAAATGTGGCATGCCTTTTCTACGTAACTTTCACGAGTCACATCACTGTATAAAGTAGGCCTAATACATCTTTCCTCGCCGATCATGCCAGGGTATATATATTTTTTATAATGTAGGCAATGATATATATGTAGTAAATGCTGTTTTTCGTTTCTGCAGTTTTGGCTCTTTTTGAGTTTCAGTAACATCACAGTTGTCCTATACATCAAATTGAATTTAATATTTTTTGTTAACATTTCAATGACTGATTCTTCAAATACGCTAACCGGCTGCCCAAAATACTATAGAAACAGTTGATAAGTCACAACTTTGAGTTATCTCCCTTTTCTTTAGCATGTGGAGCTAATTACACACTTTGATTGCAATTCGAAAGGTAAGATATTTGATGTATTTTGTCTTTCATGAGTTTTTTGTCTGTTCTTCACCAAGACTTGCTTGTATTTTATATCATTTCTAACAGTTACAGCAATTTTGGAATAGCAAACGAGATCAATTTCTACCGAGATTTGAATATTTCAATGAAAGAGAGTTATGTCCCGTTGAAGTATAAAAAATGATACAATATGAAGGATAAAGGGATGTAAGTAAGATTTTTATCACATACATTTGCCTGGTAATTATTCAATGCAAATGTCTTGGATATATCTTTATGTCTTTCAATTCCTTTACCATATAAGGGACAATGTCACACGTTTAATTGGATTAATGAATGCCCTGAGTCTATCATTAAGTGCTTAACGGAGAAAAAGATGGTTAAAAGAATACCAAACGTGTCAGTATGTCGTCAATATCAATTCCAGTTACTTGAAAGAACAGTCTGGAACAGATTTTACAAAACATTATTAAGTCTGCATTGTATTGCCTGTTTTGCGTTTATTGCTCCTTCATCAGCTAGGGGTATCTTTGTACCAGTTAATGACAACCTTACTGAACAACATGCTGGAGGCTCGGCGAATGTTTTAGAGAACAATAAAAGAAACGTATATTGTCGAAAGACAAGAAATCATGTCCTGTTGCACGATTCACGTGCTATGAAAAGGAAGGACAACAGTTTACTCAAAGACAAAAAAATCAGAATTTGTGCAAAATAATTTATTGATATTTAAGAAAAACACAATACGTGAGAAGAAAAATGGCCTATGCAAGTGATAGATGTACATAAACAATCTCTTAAACAAAACATTTTGATATGCCGATGAATAGACGTTGTATTTACAATTGAATCGATAACAGGAGTCCCTCGATACATCTCCGACAGAACGATGAAGTAGATAAAAGACGTTTTGGTTGAGTTTTGCTTAAACATGAACAATAACATCATATACTGTCAAAAGGTAAAGAATGGTATTTATATAGCATGCAACACGAGCGTACCTTATGCATTCCTTGGCAATAAAATCATGTTGTTGAAAAATGAAAAAAAAAAAAGAAACGCAACAAAAAATGATGTGAGCCTAAATACTTAGTTATTAAATGAAATCATAAGGCTAGTAGTGATAATGTCAATAATGTTTGATATATGTACCATGTTTTGTATAAGGATGGCAGTTTTACGCTTTGTACACATTAAATTTATTACAATGATTACAAAAATGTAGCAAGTACATACATTGGTTTCATTAAAAAAGTATGTATTCATTCTCGCTCATAACTAGTATAAACTTCAGAGCATTCTTTCATAGTCAATCTGTTCCATGATTTCTTCTATTATTACAAAAGAAACGAAGATAAATGAATCAAATAATGAATGAAATCAACAAGATTTCATTTCTTTTCTCCACTCGTGGTGTTCTACAGCAAACAATACTCGTTGGATTACCGCAGTACACGTATTTTAAGTGCAACTTTTTATGTTCTGTTAGCGTGTGTACTGATTGATGGTAAGTTGACATGGCAACAAGCATGCACTGACCACGCCTCTGACGCAATTGCTATATAGCTGTCTGTTCCGGTTTTGTACTAGTTGACCCTTCGAATGTCGTCAACTGTTCCGGGGGGCTGTATGTGTACTGTAATTATAAAATACACAAATACATCAGTAGCTAAATCGATCGATTAACAACAAACAATATTATTAAAAAAAAGATAATTTCTACATGTCGATCATTGATACATTTACATATAGTATAAACTTATTCAGTATGTAATTCGCAATTCATAATACACAAATGTCATGTCCCTCTTATATGCCTGATATTTCTATTCCAAATATAATTATAGTTCTATTGAACAAATCTTAAAACTGTTCCCTGCGTCTAGTCAAAGGTAAACAACTCTTTGATGTGAGGTTTTTGGCAACATTCTAGAACGTGCTTCGTATGTTGACTGCGCTCATGCCCTAACTTTTACTATTGCTATTAACTAGTATTCACGCATAACAATGTTTCTAAAATATGAACAATTGACTTGTTATCGAGGAAAAATACATGCTTAAAAATAAGATATGCTTACAAACGGACAATATCAAAAAGGATGAAACCAAGTAAACAAAAATTAGATTAATCTTTTTCGATGTACATTTATAGTGTAAATTTTAATTACATCAAACAATACAAAATTTTTAGCATGTGTGTATTTATTTAATCTAATATCCAGCATTCGAATGATTTGTTTCATTTATCATTTTTCTCAACATTTCTACGAAGTATTGGATATACAAAAATCAGTACATTGTTCCTTTGATTATGTTACCGTTTGCTTTATCAAAATAATGCTAAACTCTAACCTATGTGACACTTAAAATACTTTACAAAAACAGTGATATTACTTCTTTTCTCAGTCAGAATATTATGGAATATGGCGAATTTAACTATTTTGATTTCATAATTACATGCATTGATAAGTAGGCGTATGCATTTATGAATATTCAAGATATTTTCAGTTAAGTTTTTATCCAAAATATCTCCATACTATAGACGTATGTGTGGAATGATTGAAACAAAAGGTGTAAATAATGGAAGAATAAAACGTAAAAAAGTTGATACAAAAATTAATGAGAGAATGAAAGACATGAAACTCGTCTCCTGTATAAGGTAATTGACTGTGAGATAATCTCAGTATAACTCTATTCGTGCATTTCTCTAAAAGAAGAAAGCAAAACGTTAAATAATGTATACAGATTATAAGGCACCGAAAAATAATTCTGAAAGGGACTTGATGTAATTTTATATAACACGAAAGCATGGCATAGATACATAACTGACTCTTCAGTTTAGAATACCAAGGTGGAGTATGTGAAATGTAAAATATCCCATGCATTTGATATGAAGTGTTGTTTTGTTGTTAAAGCAAACAACTAATTTTGCATCCATAAACAAATCACTATCGACTCGATCAAATATCCTCATGCTCTCGAATCATATATCCATATAGTCGATATTCTTAAATGAAATAAACGTAATGTGTTTATAACGAAAGCGTACTAATAGAGAGAAGAGACATGCACAGAAACAGGGTTTACAATGCTTACGATTACCCCCGAATTCTCATGTTCAGTGTAGCCGGCTGCTTTCAAAACCTCCAGTGGGTCCTTTTTCACTATTTTAACCGTATTGCTGGATTTATATTGTTTCTGTTGCTGTTAAGTAAAGAAATTCACAGTCAGATGTCTTGGTAATGTCACCTCTTTTGGTTAAGTCGGAAGTTTCAATTTCGGAGTAATGGAGGTATATTTTCTACATTTCTCTTATGTGGAAGATGGCAACTTCAGATGATTAGTATAAGTTCATTTTTAATTGAATTTATTTTTCGTTATTCACGCATTTCATTTTACGATACCAGCTTATGTTGATAGAATCAACTTGGTCATTTCAACATGCAAATTGATTTTATATCGATTCAATCATATCGGATTCATCAAACAGGAAGGCATCGTGTAATATTGTTCTTGATATAACTATTACTGTATCATTAACACACTGAACATATTAATTGCGATAGCGAGACCATCATATCCTGAAAACCATATCATTTGAATGATTACTTTAATCCTATATAATGTGTTTTATTTTGAGGGGCAGTGCAAAGGACTAACTTAAGTAGGTAAATGTGACGTAATGCTATAGTCACCCGGGATGTGTCTACACTCCTGTAAATACCATCTAGATTAACACTGAATTAAAGGGAGATCATACAGCATAATGGACGTTTACTTACATATTACACAATTACAAAGTCCCAACAAAGGGGATCGACAGATACAGGTTGAGGAAGTTTAAGGGTGAGCTTAGCAATATAATCGGTATAATGATCCAAACGACAATTCCGCGATATGATGTGTGTTTGGTTCTCGTTACTTTATTATTAGATATGTTGTTGTTGTTTCTTTTCTTAATAGGGAACGTTACTTACAATGGGTCGAAGGCCGGCTACTGGTGAGGGACCAACCACTGCTCTGGTCCCTTGTCACTACCGCTTGTTCTCATTTCAGAAAGTGACATTACTTACTTGAATTGATCACGATTAACATAAATGAAGGAGAATACGCTTACCCTTCCGGAAAGCCTGGTCTAATTGTTTGGCCTAAGTGTAAACATTTATCTAGTTCATGTTTTGCCACAGTTTAGTCGAATTCTGTTTGAATTGATGATGTGTAAACATGTCAGTATTTTCGTTGTACTTATAAAATATGACTTGCCTTTTTTGATCTACGGTTTCTGTGCAGTAAATATTCTAATAGTGACATCAGCATAGAGAGGACTAATCCACCAATTAGGATGTGGAATATCCCTGATACGTTACTCAGCGTCAAGGCACTTTTAACACCGTCCTGAAAAATCATAATGAATGAAATATCAAAACACAGAAAATCATATATCGTCAGTTTCTCATTTTAAATCTAAGAAACAAACTTTTTATTTCATAAATATAAACATGAGTGTCTTATCTTTATTTTGATTTTGTCATGCAAATATTGAAATCAATGTACTGGTCACATGTTTGTCATGGATTACTGCTGTTTAAAAAATAATGGTTGATAAAATAAGTCATATTTTAGTCAGAGTGTAATACTTAAGGACCGCGATATCTGAAGAGTCTATTTAGTATGCTATTTTCCAATATTCAAGAACAAATATGCGATCCAGAAAGGGGAATTATCAGATCCCGATGGCAGCAACAAGTTCACAGTTCAATATCATCAACACATTGTGATACAATGTAGTTTGTAATTCGCAAAAAAAATCGTTTTTTTTTACAATTTACTTATCTTGCCAATAAACATATTTCTTTTTTCTATTAAAAATACCTTTACATATTCCCTGTCTATATCAAAATATACACATATAAAAATAATTTATTTCGAATCAAAGTTTACATAACAATCACATTTATCAATCTAAATACATTCAAATATTATGTATATATAGTTTACTAGTTTCAACGATTATTTAATTTTTACAATAATGTGTCTTCCTACATATCTTACATATCTGATATATCTTACATATCTGATATAAATCTGATATATCTACATATCTGATATATCTTACATATCTGATATATCAAAATATATCACATATATAAAATATATTTATATTCGATATATTTACATATCTGATATATCTACATATGATATATACATATCTGATATATCTACATATCTGATATATCTACATATCTGTATATATATCTTACATATCTGATATATCTACATATCTGATATATTTACATATTGATATATCTTACATATCTGATATATCTACATATCTGATATATCTACATATCTGATATATCTACATATCTGATATATCTACATATCTGACATCCCTATACCTACCTTTGAATCTATAGCTCCACATTCCCCCTTATCATACCACCATTTCTGTTCGAGTTTATGAAGCTCGCCTTCCTCTCGAAGTCTTAGGACCACAAGATTCAATTTTTTTCTAGCAACAAGAATGAATTACAAAATGTTTCATGTTATACCCAAATTAACTCATTTGTGGTTACATATTTTTTTCTTCTGTGACAAAGTTGTGTTTTAATTAAGATTTTCACATGTATGTGTGATTTCAAATGGATATCCGGATCTCAGTTGTAGATTACGATTGAAACAGGTTTACATTGGCTATTAGAAGCATCACGTTATCATCTACCGTGCAATTATGTTAAGAAAACAAATTGCCCAAAGTTTGATAGGACTAGTCATTGCTCAATACCAGCTTGCTTGTTTGAAGAACTTGCTTGTTTGATTATTGTCTGGCCCGGAAAATGTTGTTATCATATGAAAAACAAGCTTTTTTTCGGAACGATTGAGAAAAATCGAGGACGTTAAGACTGTGTCTTCTCCCTGAAATATCATATCTCGGTGCGCCCCAGCATATATACCGATGTACATCTTAACATTCATAGCTAATAATCTAACGAATCTACGAATGTATGTCGATGTATCAGCAGTCATACAATGTATAAGGGCACCGTCCTTGAAGGATGGAATCATTGATACTAAAAACGGGCTTATATGTTCTTACCGTCTCAATATGAATGTCAGGAAGCAGTAGGTAGCTAATATGACAAATTAAATTTATCTCGGGCAAGGATTATATCAATATTCTCTTACGATTTGCCTTACAACCAAGACTTAGATGATGTACAGGGTATGTAAAGTGAGATGCTGGGAAAAATATTCAGGAACAAGAAAAGATACAAAACATCTATTATTATGATATAAATAGTAAACAAAGTTTTATGTAACTCATGCAATTGATGTAATCAATTCAAGTAAACAGAATCTTATTGAATTTTAAATTTGTATTGGGATTGGAGAACGTTATTCACTTATGTCATTTACATCGTCCTTTGATATTACAGAAGTAGGCACTTCTTGTAAACGTTTTAACTGTCGTTTTATATTTATCTTCATAACTTATAAATTTCTTTTGTATAACATAATGATACTAATTAAGCATGATTATAATAATTTTAGATTTCATTTTCTTTATTACTGGTGGAAACATTACCTAAGAGGAGAATACAATGGCGTCGCTATACCATATCCTTTGCTGTCTAAGTTCTCGCCAACTTTCATCGTGTTACACGGCTTTTTCTGTCCTTGATAATTGTTCAGTGGGGACTCGAGAAGAAAAGCATACTTCCCTTTGGAATCCCTGACCCTTTTAATTCCAATGCTATTTTTCTTGACCATCACCCTGTCCTTTTTGGCCTTCATATACCGCCACATCGCCTCATATACGGGAACAGTAGATTGCTAGTCAAATATATAATGTTGAATTTCTTCAGAAATCCGTCAACACTGACAAGACACACACATCTACATGTACATTAACACAAGTGTTTGTATCAATATTTACTTTACAGAAAAATACCATAAAGGTCAATTCAACCCTAAACTTGAGCATCCGCTGTAGTCTGTAATTTCCCAGCTGTCTCCTTGACCGGATGTCCTCATATTCATATATTCACAAAACTAAATAAACAGAGAAAGCACATTTTGAACTTTAATATGCCGTCTTCGCCGTTGACATCGGCAAAGAACCTCGATCAAACTTTTTTTCTTCTGAATATACAATACAACGATTTCCTTGAAAATGTTTACTACATCCTACACATTACATTCATTATAAAGCAAAACTTATGTTAAGTAGACATAATCCACATTTTGACCAATCATACGCCTCCCTTGTGGTGTCTTGTTAAGCAAAAAGGTTTTATATGTTAAAATTTGGCATTGTACATGAAACATATGACAGACATAGGAATAAAATCAATATACACATATATTGATATATAAACACCAAAACACATATACCCAGAGATCGGTTACTATAGCAAAAGAAGAAATCATGACAAAGGAATTTATTTAATATCAAAACACTTTCACTTTCGACTTATCAAAAGACTGATTCGTATCGTTCATAAGAGATGTAAGGCGTAATTAGTTAACAAATGACCTCGAAATGAAAATAAAATAAAAAAATGAAGATATTTTCGTGCAAATCTAAGCACCCAAACCATTGAAAACAAATAGAGTTATGCATATCTAAGTGACAGCGTTTGAGTAAAGTATTATAGAGAACTGCCATTGGTTTCTGTGCAAAATTCAGGAAGCGTTGTCAGACAGTCCGATACTCGGTGCTTCATAGCATCCGCATTTGGTGCAGATCTCTAAAAAAATCTACAAAATTCTGAAACAGAGCACTAACCCATTTTTCAATCTTCCAGAATTACGACCACTTACGTTCTCCTCATCTTTTGGCGATGTCATGGCAAAATCAAAGGCTCTCGCTTCCGCCACCTATCGGTTGGTGCGATTTATGTCCCTTACTTAATGTATTTACTTGACAAATCAGCAACAAACAGATATTGTAAGCCAGAACACAGCAAAAACATAAAATAGACGATGAGTCCCCCTGCTCTGATAGAGAATGTCACTTATAACTCGTTGATGATGCGTTCTACATAGAATGTTATGGATGGATAAATAGCAGACGAATTGTAGCTGAGTGTGTCGGCGAATGCTTAACTCACCCAGGCTGTCACACACAGATCGGACTGTTAACAATCATATACTACTAACTTAAGTGTGATCAAATAAAAACTGCACAATCCAGAATCTCATTTCCTCAATCTAAAATAGCACAGTTCAACGCAAAAATATGAAAACTTTCACAACGTTTATGCTAAAATTTTGCTCCGATTGAAAACATTTGCTTACAGCTATTTAGATACAAAACAGGAAAATAAATATACTTTTTTAGTCATATGTATAAATGGTTTTGTGAATTTAAGTCAATCGGTGGTGGGAATTCATCTAGACAAGCCTGACCTCCCCGATTATCAGAAAATAGTTAACACGTTCAGAAATGTACCTGTGATATGTGGTTGGACATACATGCATTTCTAACCTATTTTGAAAATTAAAAGCGCCATACGAGTGGAACATCTTTCAATGATGTCGAATTCAGCAGTTGTTAGATTTCACTTCATTACGTAATCTAAATAAACCATCGATGATGATACTGGCACATACATTATAATTGTGCTGTATATGCTGACTTAAAATATAGTTAAATTTTACACTTATCACTTCATCTTAATCTGGGATATGGATTTCAACATTTCAACACACTCGGAACATCATACCAAGTGCCAAATTGATACTGGAAACGCCCATTAGCAGTTGTGGATCAGCTTAGTGTAGGTTTGATGACGTTAACTGGATATTCGTTCATTCAGTCAGTATTTGAAGATATAACCTGTACTTTGTCTTGAATATTATCACATTTTTTTCATATCAAAAAGTTTTCAGTTTCTTTTTTCTTACTTTTACTGGAACAAGAAACGACACTGGCCAATTTGTTGGAGAGTATAAAGACATGTTTTGTTTCCACAAAGTCAAGTTGTAATTATTGAGGGTTTGTAAAATTTCGTAAAACTAAACCCAGGAACATGTATGCTTTTCCCTATGTCTTTGGTAGGCAATATACCCTACAACTTGACTCTTTTAGTCCAACGTGGAGCCAATTATTTATTTTGACACAATCTAAATTGCGTCGTTCTGCAGCCGCCTTCCTTATTTACAGACGAAACGAGCGTTTTGGGTGTTCGGTTAATTCTAGCGACATCACAGTGTATAGACGGAAGCTCTGCATTTACCATGATGTTCACCAAGAGTGAAGAGTATCGTATTACACAAATATGGGCACTTTTAACGTTGTTTACCGATAATCTGTAATTACTGGTAAAACTGTACCAGGGTCTGCTCTAGATATCGCAACTGTTCAAATTTACTTTGACCGATGGCCACTTAATCTAATCATGTAAGCAATTTGTCGTGATGATATGATCTGAATATGAAGTAACTATGATGATGTATTGAAGAAATACAAAACATTTTTCACATGTGGTCGTGAGTGACCTTTGACCTGTATGTTTGACTAATAACCACCAAGCTATTATGGAGTGTGAAATTTGACATTGTGGAGATATGGTGTATATATATGAACTTAATTCATGTGTCCATGATATATCGAGTACTCAAGTTTTGCATGCCCTGATGCATGAACAGATGCACATACACACGTATTACTATATACTGCCCACACTATATGGATGATATATTGCAAATATGACAAACCATGAAAAATCTCTCCGTAGCTCCTCCGCTGTATGTCCCATATTCAATTTCACTTTGCTTGGCTAAGTCATCAGCACTTTTGATAGACGTCACAAGTCTCTCAATTGTCAAAAAAGCAGCCAGGTTAGCTGTATATGAGGATATCAGTATCAAAGTAAAAAACCACCAGGCACTACCAACAATCCTTCCGGAAAATGATCTAAGAATACAAAAACGATAATTATTGTTCTGTCGGTGCAATTCATATCAATGCAAGATGTCAACAAGATAAACACGTATATCAATACACTTTTACACATAATTGGTTTTAGTAAATTTCGTTCTTATCTTAGGACCTAGATAATGCATGAATGCATCCAGGCCTTGATATTTGCCCAAGGTTGAAAACCAATGTAGTAAAAGATTATTGTACATGATTAAATGCTTAAGTGTTTGGCGTTTCTCAGCATGGTATTCCAGTTCTGATGTACAAAACAATTCATCGTTCATGTTATGATTGACTTGCTCTTTAGCAAAATGAAAATTTGAATTAGTGCTTAAGAGATATAAACGTTAATAAACTATTAGGAAGCGAAATTCCCTTCAATTGAACATAAAGATATTTAACAAACACGTTATATGCAATCATTAAAAAAAAATAATTTTTTTATCTTAACTTCTTCTCGGTAGAAAGGAAAGAATATAACTCTAACGAATATACGATATGCTTATGATAGATGATTGTTTATAAACAACGTATTTTGGTTATTTCATAGTAATTGTAAACTACTTAAATGATTTGTTTAAGTTTAGCATCCTACCCTGTCATGGACTCTTACTATCGAAAACAAAATAAACGAGTTTTTTTTTAATGTCAGGTGATACATTTTATCATAAATTCAAATTAAGAGTATATATAGTATAGTTGTATTATCATAAGGAAATATTATCGCTAGTTGAATAGCCAAACATGTTCTATGTTGTCAGCCATATAATATACAGTTATAGAAAATGTGGAATTCGTACAATAATGTATCAGGTGAATGGAGAAGTTGGATTCGAAGGGTCATAAACAAGAAAAAACCTTTACAGACACATTCATTCAACAGTCAAAAAGCCGTGAACAAATGATCACGGTTGTACATTTCCCTTGCTCATGCTGTCAAATTTGAAACATGATTTTGAAACTTGAAAATAAAAATGAACAAACAAACAAACAAAACAAAATTGAAATATTTTGAAAGAAAACAATACAAAAAGCGTGAATATTGATTGAAGTGGCACACGTAAATCTAAGGGGAAAATTCAATACAAATTTCACTTTTTTTATTAAAAGCTGTTTTGATTCATAAATGTAAGTATGTATCAAAACATTTTTTTTTTCAAAACATTATTCATTACGTTCTAAAAGGAAATTATATGAACTCGAAGTTTATCACTTAAGCTAAAGTATGAACGTTACATATATTTAAATTATGATAATATTGGAAGCACAAACAAAATGACGAAGCTATTCTATGACGTACAAATCGCGGAAATATTAGCATAAACAAAGATGATTTTTTCCCTGTTCGATAAATGTTTTAACACTTTAAATAAAAAAAAGTATAAAAAAGAACATTAATGATGATAAAAATGTAAAGAAAATAATCATGACAAATTACGAATTGAAAACTATGAATAACTGCAGAAAAAATGAGAAAGATATCCCTATATAAAAAAACACAAAATCTCATGCATGACATGGTGTGAGGGAAAATGTGAACTATTCGAATGAACAATTCAGTGCGTAAGAAAATGATTTTATAAAGATCAAATTTTAGTTTAAAATTTTGTCGAAGTTTAAACTGACAACATGGAACGGTGCATATTTTGTTATATTGATACTTTTATCTCAGGCTAAAATATGATACAATGCCTGAACCAACCTTGGGAATATATCAGATCCCTGCTGCATTAAAGCCCCTAATGAAAACCAAAGAGTATTTGAAAAAGTAAAAGCGTTAGTCGTTGTGTGATCCTTAGATGAAGTCTCTTCCTGCCATTCATAAGGGCTCCATCGACCAACGAAAAACAAAACTAAGCTAACAGCCAGAAATGCTATCATGACGCAAATCCAGACAAGGTTTGATAATGGGTTCATAAAGGAAAACACTCCTGGCTTTTGCTTATCTGGTTTCTTGATCATTATGCTGATTCCAAGCTTCATAAAGGGCTTGGTAAAATCTACAACCCTCTCCCGTTCTTTGTTAATCGTCAGGGAGGCCAGCGCCAAATCCGCTGTCTACAAATAAACGTTAATGAAGACACTTGATAAATGAGAAAGAAAATACATGGATTGGTCATAAAAGACTGTGCATAATACACACACGTGAAAAACACAACTTTAGAGTTAGATAAAGTAGAACCAAATAATGAATACAACTGCATTATACAATTTTTTCGTCCTTTTTAAAGCCTTAAAGGAAAATCGTCCAGATTGTAAGTAATCAATATCTTGGTGTTTATTTCCATACAATTTGATTTTCCTCTTTCCCATTTTTTCAAAATGAAAACCCTTACCATTACCAGACAGTCCCAAAGGGAGGGAACACTTTCATAATACACGATTTGGGTCCTCTTGATCTAATTCTAAATCTGTATTAAATTTAGCTACTTACAGTGTGTCTTTTGTACAAAATAGGGTTTATTTGTACCATATCGATACCCTTGTTAATGTTTCACTGACAGAAAATTTCACATCGAAATGATGTTTTACGATATGTTTTTAAAGATGAACTGCTCATGAAAATGAAAGATATATATTCGAACAAATCGTACATACCGCATTTTAGAAATTAATAAATAAACAACAATTTCATGAAAATGTCGAAGATAGTTGTTTTATACCAATGATATAAAGCGGTTATTTAATAAAATGTAAAACAATACTTACATTGTCAATTAGTTCACCAATCATTCCGTTCCATTTGTGAGTTTGTTTATCTACACTACCAAATTTATCGTTTAAATGTATCTCATATTCAAAGTCTTCATCGAATTCTTTTTTATATCTGTGTTTGACCTTTTCGGCTACATCAATACAGTACCCTTCCAATCGGCGGCCATTGATCATTGGGGCATTGTTATTTTCTCCGGTTTCATTTGATGAAGCGAATTGGACAAATGGAACTTCCTGCCAAACCAAAGAAAATAAGTATAGATAAAATATAGTATAACTGTAACATATCTTTCCTTAGTCTTTATCAAATTTATACAACCATGTTCAAACATGCAAGTGAGTTTATCAATGACCATTTTTAATTTTTAACACTTAGATGGAGACGGTATGTGGCGTGGTTGTCATTCGAATGAATAATTAAAACATGTGTTTGTCTGAATACAGAAACTGTTTTCTGCGGTATTATTTCTATGCGTTTACCTTCATAAAAAATACGAAAATCAAAATGTTTCTATTAAGTTAAACATATTGATAGAAACAGATCTTCAAGGATATGAACAAAAGGTGTGGCCGATAACTGTTCATTGCAGCTTCAGTCTTAGTAAAGATACACATTGCATGTGAGAAACACTGATGTTAGCGTAAGTTTCTGTTTGACCTTCTCTATGCTATCCTGGCTGGGCTCTTAAAAGTTGATGTCTTTTCCAAAGACATCCCTATTTCCTTATATCTCCCTTGTTATTGCCTATTGTTTGTTCTGTAAATGAGCGTTTGCTATTGTGAAGGCGTTGTGTTCTGTTCCGGGGCCAAGTAATACCAGCATTTATAAAAATGAAAGATTGTACGACTTGCTTTACGCTCAACACTGAAATACCCATAAGGAATATTTCATCGGATATACAATTTGAATATCAACATTAAATTTCATGTTTATACTTAAGGCTTTGATGGTATCCTCTTTCTGTAAACATAAGCCTATAGGATGAGGAGATGCTGAACACTTGTAAATGCAATGGTAGACTAGTAACATTATGGTACTAATTCCGTTGTTCTGTCCGCCCATTAACAATATTTGTCTGGAAGATGTATCATGTGATAAAAAGATTTTATTCGTTTACGTTCGCTGCCAAAGCTATGAAATTATTCTAAGACTTTCCTTAATTTTAGCAGATCTAAAATTAAAAATAATTGGAGACCATTATATTCAACAAAATAATATATCATTATAAGACGATTACTTTATCTCTCTTCAATATCAAAGACCGAGTAACAATGTGAATGAATTATAAAAAAGTTAATATCTTAATAAATGCACATATATTCTATATAAAAAATACCAATAACATGTAATATGCTTTGTTGTCTTTTAAATAGTTCTGACATTTCCATGTGGTTAGATAAATTTCGTATTTTATATTCTAACAGATATTTTATCAACATTGCACTAGACTGTTCCTGATTGAGGCGATCATTTCCTTGTTGAATATCGTTGATTGCAGTGCTGTTAAATATCATTTATTATCTTCAGCAAGTGATTTTGAAATCGAACATTACTCCTGAATTCCACTAGTACATTAATACAGGAAAATTGCTCTTTAACATTAATATTTTACCAGACCACTGCCCAGTACGATGATATGATATGTTATGTGTCTACATAAACGTTGGACCAGAAAATTATTATGCCGTATATTGGGGTTTTATACACGAGTTCCGCGACCATTTAAAAAAAAATTGCATTCTTTCATCTTGTTATTGAAAACACTTGAATGGTGTATCTTTAGAATTGACCTACCTACATGCACCTGAACAGGTTCTTATCGAGAATACTTACATGATCAAAAATACTAGTCGGTATGTATATATCTTGTCTTAGGACAAGTTTTCAGTTAGATATCACGTTGAAGTTAGAATCTATAGTGGTATATATGTAACCTTTGCCCATTCTGAAGGTCCAAGCCTTCAAAAGAAGACTTTAAAATTTCTGAGACGATATAATCCACAAAACAATGACATGTGTGTATCAACGGATGTTTTGACAAGTTTGCACCAGAGAGTTATGTATAGGATTAAGATTTAAAATCTCACTGACCAAATATATGTTTTGATGAAAGAGTGTTTCAGTTCAAACATTGAAGACAATAGTAAGTCAATTGAAACTTACAAGAATTGTTACAATCCGCCATGTTCTGTTCTTAGAAGGTTCGGGACGCGGTGGAGGCACTGGTGAGTGGAGGTGAGTTTGAAAACGAAGATGCGGCGGACTGTTGGGAGACCAGGTACCGACCTATTTACAAAGTATAAAAAGAATCACCATTTGAAATAAAAACAACAGCATATATAAAGAGCCGCCATTACCCGAAAAAAACATGCAACGAGAACAAAAAGCGTATTTAGATAAATCATGTGAAACATCTGTGAATGCGATGTTAATCTCCGTTGAAATCGACGTAAGACACATGTAGGTATATCAAGTCCAAAGATATTTCCTTACATACACAAAAATAAAACAGTTTCATGACTGTTTGCATTACCTTATCCAGACGTTTCTTGTATTCTAACTGGTGAACGACCAAGGTGTAATCTTTTCTCATGCCTTTTGAATCAAACGCTAACGTTCCGGTCAAACTTTCGTCAGCACGAAGTCGAGTCTGTCAATATAATAACATTTAATTGTAGTGATTAAATGGTCAAATTGGTCACAAAGTTTAATATTGAAGACAACTTTAATAACTTCAAAGTGATCTCACCATTGGCAAGTCTTTGAACCTTACAGAAGACCCGAAAGGGGAGGGGGAGGGGGTCCAACAAAGATTGAACAAAAGATACGCATGTGAATAGCACCTTTTAATAAAGTAGAGTGACCAAAAATGGAATGGAACCTTTAGGCATCCTAACGGGCATCAAACATGTTTAAATCTCAACAGAAAATAATAGTTCTGAGACAAACCCCTTTGGCACATTTACGCGAAAACAAGACCAAGAGTTATATCGACGGTAAGGTCAAGTTCCTCCACAGATAAATAAAAATGTCTTGTATTATGGCACTGCATCAATACATGAACATGTTGGTTTGGTTGATTGAAAAAAATGACTGTTTGATATCACCTGTGCCGCGTCATTAATCACTAAATTTTGTTCACTTATAACCATCTAGTCAAGGACAAAACATCCCAGAGAGATCTTGCCACCCCCATTGTTTGAAGTTTTATTACTCTTTAAGATTTAATATTTTTCATTTCTGTTCTCTTCTTCCTTTTGTTATTTTCTCAAACAAAGTTTGAAAACTCCACTTAAGAAATAGAGATTATATTTTAGCTCTCAAATTCCAAAATGAGGTATCAAGGAAAACCAGCTCACACAATTTGAGAAAGATTCGTTCGGTACCTCTCAGGAAATACCGGAATACCGATAACAATAATTGTTCAGGGGCTCAAGATGGACGAACGACGGATGCATGTCGATCATCATTCTGGAAATATTCATTTTAAAGCCAACTAAATCTTGATCACTGACAGTATCAAAAATATATAGCTACAGTGCAAATAGCACGAATGATGAAATTGTTTGATTCTGCGGTATATAATTCTAAATTTGTATAAAACGTGTAATTAATTTGTGTGCTTTTATACAGTCTTCAATATTGCAGTTGATAGGCACTGCTGGCAGACAGAATTAAGTCCTCGATGTTTGCCACGTGTTAAATTCTTCAAAGCGAGGCATGTATATGTAATCAACACTTTCCTAAAATTATCACATAGGTTCTTTTTTTTTATTTAATTAGCACGCAAACACATCTTCCATCTAGATTTTGAATTTTTTTTCTATCACATTTAATTTTCCTCAGTCGCCATTGGTTTCATAAATTTAGTACTTGAATAAAACTTACGAGTCCTAGATGGACGAAACCGCTGTACGATGCTGTTTGTTTGTCATTTGGCTCTAGTGGGTGTTATTCATTTGTACATGTATATCATTTTTACGATTTCCAATGATTTGTATTGTAAATATACTTATATATGTTTCTGCAAATCGATCCGATGCAGACAAATTGTTTTCGGAAGAAAAACACTGTCGCAAAGACTTTCATGGAGAAAATCAAACTTACATTCCGAAATGTCTCCATCACTTGTTCTCGTTCTCCTCTGCCTGATCCTCCACGACGTCCCGCTCTTCCACCACCGGAGTAGGGGATGTATCCATTGGAAAGACAGCCTCGTTTGTGGAGAGATAGGTTTCCATTAAATTTACTCTTTACCTTGTCAAATCCTTCGTGTATTAGGTTCAGAGTGTCGATCACAAGAGCCTGCTTGTACTGTTGAAGGAGAAATTGTTAAACAATGTGACCAGTGATGACAGTTGGTCAACAATATATTTTCGTTATGGATTTCACATTAAAGAACAATTTTGATGATGGTAAACTGATTTATTTTTCTCAGATTGGATTGCATTGTTTTAAATTAACTGAAAACAACATTTGTATTAATAATTATTTATGATAAATGACTTCAAAAGGGCATGAAAAACATAAAACAGGAAGACAAAATCAGGTGAAAGCTATCACCTTGCACATGCGGGTTGATAATCTTTTCATCCATCATGAAAGTTTCCTTGCAGCTCTGATAATTGAAACCTATATGTTGCTAATATGGTAGAGATTTTCTATTGTCGTCAATGGAATTTCAGGCTATTTGCTTACCTCATGCCAGCTTTTTCGTTCCTCTTTATTCTCAGACGAACAAGAATGGCATTTTTTATCACATTTACGAAGATTTAAAAACATTTGGTAGCATTATTTCTTACCATCAAGTACGGCGTATTTGGGTAAAGGTTGAAATAGAGTTGCTTGTTTCTTGTCCGTAATTCTGTGAATGACGCCGCTGCCGTATTGATGACGGTGAAGCCAGTTATATTCACACCTCCGTACTCAAACTGGGCAAGGTCTAATTCGTCTATACCCTATGGGATGTAATGAGGATCATACGATAATCGAGTGAAACATAAGTGAATATGTCATTATATAAACGGTGATATGAATGGAATGACATCAATTTTGTTCCAATTTATAGCTTGCTAAATTGAGATATTAGATGATGAAAATGTAAATGTACTTCATGCACAAAAAAGCTGCAAATAGTTCATACTTATATTATTTTAAACATCTTATTTCTAAACTGTTCACTAACTCAGTAAATATGTTACTGTACACGAAATATCGGATAGGATACGGTTAAATGAAGTGCAAAGTAAATAGATATAGGTACAAAAGAACAGCGTGGGTGTAATTATATATCAACTATATAGGAAACTATTTAGAAGAAACTTCATTTAGAGACATTAAAGAAAGTACTTACCAAACCACCTATTATGTAGTGATAGGAATCTCTGTTCATTCCAACATTTATAATCTGAAAAATATGACGTTGACTTTGATGAACACATGTGTATTCTGCTCAATAATTTTCTAAACTAGGTTATCAATTAGCGATGGTAACCTATCGTACAGAAAAAGTGGCACAACGGACAGAATTTTTTATGAATTTACGAAAACCAAGAACGAAAATGAGCATTTCTTTCACTTGCGTTGTTTATGCATGGCTTGCATAAGATTACATGGTTTTGTAACTAATGAACATGAACAGTAACACTTGATAAAGCTGTTACATAAGTTGTTCATACATGTAGCTAATATTTACTCTTGGAATTACATGATTATTGTTGGCATTTCCAGTGAGCCTAATTAGAACACACTACTGCTTGCGGTATACTATGGCAGTTTAATATAAACTCACTGCTTTTCTGATGAAGTAGTATGTAACTTGCTTACCAAGAAGAGCTGTGGGTGCCAAATGTAAATATAAAGACTGATTTAATCAAGGAGTTATTTCACGTGCAATATGATTTGTAGGCGATATACCTGTTCAAGAGTTTTATTGTAAGCTTCTCTAGACGACAGATCCAGGACTATTCTCTTCGGAATGGCGACTTCAAACTCGGCGTCAGCCCTATCAAGGGATCTGAGCAATTCGTAACAATCTGATACATTTGTAATACGACGAGGTCTGATGGTAAATTTGTTGATTCTAGTCAGGTCTTCAGCAACGCCATATAAGTTTTGGAGACGTTGTAATCCTGTTGGAAGAATTCGGAAGAAATACATTTTAAGAAATATTTTTGAATGAAAGTAAATTTTAAAAATGCATGGTTACATAAATGGTTTTTTAAATGGTTGATAAAGGAGATAGAAATTTATATATAGATTTATTCCCACATGTACCATTCCTACTGTCATCACTGATAATATTTCCATTTTTACTACTACTACTACTACTACTACTACTACTACTACTACTACTACTACTACTACTACTACTACTGCAGCTGCTGCTGCTGCTGCTGCCGCTACTACTACTACTACTACTACTACTACTACTACTACTACTGCTGCTGCTGCTGCTACTACTACTACTACTACTACTACTACTACTACTACTATTACTACTACTACTACTACCACTACTACTACTACCACTACTACTAATACTACTACCACCACCACCACCACCACCACCACTACTACTACTACTACTACTACTACTACTACTGCTGCTGCTGCTGCTGCTACTACTACTACTACCATTACTACTACTGCTGTTGCTGCTGCTTCTGCTGATGATGATACTACTACTACTACTACTACTACTACTACTACTACGACTACTACTACTACTACTACTACTACTACTACTACTACTACTACTACTACTACCACCACCACTACTACTACTTCTGCTACTGCTGCTGCTGCTACTACTACTACTACTACTACTACTACTACTACTACTACTACTACTACTACTACTACTACTACTACTTCTACTACTACCACTACTGATACTACTTCTACTACTACTACTACTACTACTACTACTACTACTACTACTACTACTGCTGCTGCTACTACTACTACTACTTCACTACTACTACTTCTACTACAGTAACAACAACTACTACCACTACTACACTACTACTACTACTACTACTACTACTACTACAGCAACAACAACTACTACCACTACTTTTACCTGGAATAGTACAACTACCAATACTTCTGCTACTAATGTCAGTGCTGCTACACAAGTCTCTACTATTATAATCACCATCACCAGTTATTGCTATTTACCTTCATCAGAATCAAATAGGTAATACAGCAGATCCCATCCGTAGAACCGTGCTATGTCCATTATGGCTAGTATATAGGAAGGCATCATGTTTATATGGTAGCTTTGTTCGTTGCAGGATGTATTGCCGATGGCCGTCGGCAGAAACAATGGTAACATTACATTCTCGCTTTGAACGAAGTCTCGAACAATATTCTGACTTGACTCTGGCCCAAGGATTACTATTGCATGTACGTGTTTCTTCTCTATAGTCTGACATACTGGAATAGATTGACATATAAGCATTGGTAAATACATTCTAAAAATAATTATACATCGCATTTACTTAATGCTTAACCTTCATATCCTTCATATATTAGCCCGAAGGCTTTAAGGTGCGATGGTTTATATTATTAAATTTTAATATCACTTTTTTCCACACCAATGTATCGTCTCTGCTTTATTAAAATAGAAGATTTGTTTTCTTAATAGATTGATAAACATGAGTTCAAATTCTATCGAAGTTGAAAGGAATGTTATTTTAACGTATAGGATATATCTGTATTTGTCAGAAATTGTTTATTTTGTTTCAGTGAAGATTAAATGTTAATATTAATATAACGGAAATTAGTTTTATGGCAGAATTACCGAAAATCATATTTTTCTGTTGGATTCCACTAGTGCTTTCCTCAATGCTCATGTTCTTTCTGATAAATAGTTTACATTTTTACCATTAAAAGATCTTTTTTCAAATATGTATATTTTGATTTGTATTTCTATCAGTCAGTTCAAGTATTTCAAAATAGTGCAATTTCATCAAGTTTTACATCTTTTAGGATGCTATTTATTTGTAATTTAAGAACTGTTTTGTCAGCAAATGTGATATAGGTCAACTCATAAAAAGTATGATAATGATGATCTTCTATTCCTTGATATATTTGCAATAAAGTAATGTTTCTGAATAGCCTCTCGGATAGTACATCTGGAAAAGTAAGGATCTATGCCACTATTTCATATAATGATATCAAGAATGCATAAACTTTGTAATCCTGATGTATTGCAATATTACATCCACTTAGAAAAAAACTTGATGTTTAATGATATAACATAGACTTAGAATTCTCTATGTTTTGCAAGATAACACAAACTTAGAAATCATGGTGTATAACAATATAACATAAACTTAGAAATCTTGATGTTTTACAAGATGACATAAACTTAGAAATCTTGATGTTTTACAAGATGACATAAACTTAGAAATCTTAATGTATACCAAGAGAAAGTGATGTATTACAATTCTTTAAAGTTCAACAGACATACATGGGAGCACAATTTATATTTCTGATACAATTTGATTCATAGCTTGATATTTCCTATATGTTCATTTTTCCTCATGAAATAACATGACAAAGATACCCCAACGTGATCAATTACATATTTAATTTGCTTCTTCCTCTACATAAACTTTAAGTATAGTATTCCATTGTTTTGAGGTTACTCAGTGAAATCAAGGTCCATAGGGAAAAGTGATTGGCTTCCACAAAACTTTGGACTCTTTCCAGATTATTGATTCTATGGGTGTATGGTGTGTCCAACGGTTTACAATTCCAAATAGCGCTGAAAGGCGAAGCGCCTAGTACAACAACATTAACCATAAAAAATGCCAAATATCTCGACAAAAGGACTAGAAGATGTTTACTTAGGTAAACTCCAGAAAACTCGAGGGAATACTTAGTAAAATAAATAAAAGTTACCAATAATTGACGAAGAGTCTGCGTCTGGTTTGTTCCCCAAAGAATGGTTTGCCTACCACAGATATATTACATTTAATGGAAAAGTGAGTCATAGACTAAGAAACCAACCAATGACAGAGATACTCGAGTTACAAAACAAATCTTGTAAACATTTACTTATGTTGTATATCGTAAGACACGTGTCCCGTTGCGGCTGTATGCACATCCCATAGGATATTTATAAACACCATATAGGATGTTCTCTAGAGCTGACTCGTCATTTCAGTATTTTTTTATTGTACAAATTTTCATTAAATTGAATGTTAGCTACATTTTAAACTCTAGCACGCGACTTCTGGGATTCGAAATAGAAATAATAATCAAATATTCAAATAATTTCCTTTTTTTCTGACGCAGAACAAGATACATAAAATATTAGGTTATACTGTAAAGTATTCGATATCGGATTACAATGTAACAATATTAGTTTACTAAAATAAATAATTCCTTACATTTTTGCAAAACCAGGTAGCTATTTCTTAAATCCACTTCGATCTTGGTCCCGTCAAAGGACAAATTCGATTTGTAATTTCGTTCATTGATAAATCCCACTTTGTACTCCAAGGCAGTATGCAATTCGTTGAAGTCCTCCGATTCTGTGTGCTGAATCACAGCTGAAACAAAGAAAAAAGTCACAGACGTGTAGGGGTAATTATTGATACAAATGACAACGACACTGATTTCAATATGGAAAGATATTCGTAAGCAATGTAAGCGCTCTTTTTGTTCAATATTGTGTAAACAACAAAGAGGTGAATAACAACTTTTTAAATACTTTATAACTGAAATTTAAATATATCATACAGTTGTTTCGTCCTTCAAGGACTCGTCGATTCTGCAAAGGACCTACATTTAGAATCGATGAAGTGACAGAGGAGCATTAAAAAGTGATCGAAAGAAATACTGAAATATTGATACAATTGGAAAATAATTTTGAGCTTAGATAAGATAAATTTTCTAAGTCTCTTATTTTGTCCAGTTCATGAAACACTATGTTTGTGAATTGCAGTACTTTGCAATATGGATATGAATCATGTTATATCGAAACTAACAGGCATTTAGGAAACTTTAAAATTTCTTCATTTTAGTTCAAGTATTGAGTATGTTTATTGTATCAGACTGATAATCATGTACGTATTCTGAATGCATAGTGCATGCAAAACGTATCAATACAAAAATAATAGATTTATGAGTCAGTTGCCACTGAAATAATTTTAGTGAAATACATTTTAATCAATCGAACGAGAAAATACAGTGTCAAATAAATTCTCGAAAAAAAAAAACAAACTCACAAACAAAACAGGACGAAACGTCTATATCGAATAAACGATTTCAAGAAAAGCACAAAATAAAAGACACGATTCGGAGATATAACACATTAAGTAAAAATTGCGCCTTTATATAATACATATGTAACAACAAAATGTCATAAAAATGTTGATAGTGTTTCCTTAGAAATCTGAATTTGCTATATATACATGTAAATATAGTCTATTTACAAACGCAAATAAATGATTTCATACCTGCAATTTGTTGTAATTGTTACATACTTATAGCTTGCTCTTCATACCAAAAGTGTAGCAAACGACCACAAGAAAGTTACCAGAACATGTTTATTATAGTTATATAAACTTAAGTTCCTCCTTCAGAAATTAGTATACTATCTCATTGTTATGTAAATAAGACCTTATCGGAGAGACAAATTAACATCAAGTGACAGAAAATATTCTATATAAATGCATTTGAACAGTTCCGACCTATATATCTTGTGATACTGACAAGATGATTAGATTGCATCATAAATTATGTTACTTTTTATCAATCTCCTCGTTAATTTATATTTAATCTAACTGCTAAAGTAGGGTTACTTCTGAAAAATAAATGCCATAAACGGCACAAGTTGTTTACACAATATTTTCAGAATTCGAATAGTCTTTAGGATATTACATATTTGAACGTCGGGTAAATGGTTCTTAAAAATAATGATTACTATCATTTCATTTACAGGAGAATTTTAAGTAGAATGTTATCTAAAATAAATGATTTAGCCATTACTTATTGTTCAGTGATTTTGCAATAGACAAAATAGAATATTTTTCTTCCCTCCTTAAAAAGGTGTCTATTTTTACTGAAATACTGATTTTCTGATAGAATTGATATCGTTGAAGCAAAGAACAGAAATGAGCCCGTTTTTAGTATAAACGAAACATATAATTTGGAATGAATAAAGTATATAGAAAACTTCAACAGGGGCGGGGTGTAGGGCGGGGCTTGGTAAATTTTTAATCGAATGTTATCAAAATAATAGAGGAATAATGACCCACAATGCAATAAACATGGACAGCTTTCAATATGTATTGTGATTCCGGTTTCTCCATCATTGGGAATGTTCCATTTCTTGATAGTTCATATCCTGATTTCCCGACATACAATTTCTGTAAGTCGCAGTGGATTCGAGTTCCATGTTCTTGTTACCAATACAACGCAACTGAGAGATAAAGTAATGTACTTGATTTCGGGAAGATTTACAAAGATCATGGTTTAGTTCTTTGGTTGCTTTCATGATCTCATTGGGAACAAAATGTACATCATTGTGCATTGTGAAGTTTTATTCACTGTTTCTCATGCTTGGCAGTTGTATTGCTTTTATTATGGCTTTTATGCCAGAGCATCGCGTACTTTACCAAGGTTCACATGGCGGTATCTTCAATGAAGCAATGAAGCATACCTTTCCACAACACCTAGTTATACATGCATTCAATCGATTATGTGTTTCGAATTTCGATTTGCTCAAATATACACATATATTTAAATCACATTCTATTTTCAGTGTTTATATTGTAGCTGGTCACGGGATCTAGAATGATGATTTTATCTCTAAGAATAAATCGTTGTGTAATTAGATTAGAATAGCAGGTAAAAGTACGTTGTAACTTTAAAAGGATAATAGTTATACTGCATTACGTCTACATAACACATTTCCGAGCGTTAATGCACCGTACATGAGACATTTAACGAGAGATTGATTATTTTCTAAGCTTCAAATTGATCATACAATGTATATGTTCTATCAATGCATTTAATGCTATGGTGGTATTGTCTATTCATTTAACAATTATCTAAAAAAAGTAGAAAGTCGGTCAATACTGAATGTATTCTGTAAGTGCTAAAAGGACTAACACTCTTATGATGATAGATATTGGCCATTACAAAGAACACAATATAGGTTGGCGCCAGTTCTCGAAACAGACTAGGATACGGTATATTTAAGTACTGTATCGCTTCTTTATAGAGTCAACCATATATAGGTACGTTGAATATGGATATTCTACTCGTGGGTACAGAATTTGGGTCAGAACCGATCTTTTGCCGAGCTTATAAACACTGATTCCACATCAAAGGGTAATTGACATTAAGAATAGGTGAAATATCGTTTTATTTGTTACATCAAACATCATCTCACGTTCACATGTACTTTTGATAAGGATTATGATTATGACGCTATAACTCAGTCGGTACTGCGTTGACCTACGTCACTTAAGTGAAGAGCCGAAATGTTTGGTTCAACCTTTCCTCCCTGCGGCGGTTTTGTGTTTCTCTAGAAGCTGAGAAACGTATCGGTCCGTGCTGCCGTGGCTGTTCATCGGATGATACACCTCGCAAACATACCATATAACTACCATTTTGTCGGCGTTATAACTTACATAACAGGCTAAATATTGTAATGACCAAATGTGCAATAACACTGATGGGCAATGTAACTCGACGACTGTTTTAATAACGTTGTTGCGTCATATGTAATATTATGACATCTTTTTTTTTCTTTTTTAGGCAGTAGACTGTATGCACAACTTCCTTTTGTTCCGAAGCAGCCCTGGAAGATGTGTTTGAATTATTAAGATTATGCTCAAAGGTCGATAGTCTCTTTGCCGTTTTATATCACAAGTCTAATGCGACACTTTTTCTCATGAAAATTTGCAAAGGGTATACGAACAAGAGAATCCTAGACATTATTCTTGTTTCTAATTTCTCTTGAGGGAAAGCAAAATCATACGCTTTTGTAATGTCATATAGCAACTCATGTAAGGTCCTTGATTTGTGTTTTCTGCAATAGAATGTGTTTAATAAATCGTTATTCTTCATAGGCCACATGGGTTTAAATTCATTTTATGTACTGTTTTCTCCATGATACAGATTTGAAATCAAAAGTGTTTATACAAAATCACTAACCTTGAGTGCACGTATCATTTACCATTATCTCTGTTTCGATTTAAACAAATATATGCTGTCAGAATAACTGTCGTGTGTTTCATTCATTTCATGAATTTAGGCCGGGAAGTCGAAATCAAAATTGCCAAATACTGGAGAAAGAGCTTATGTGAAAATAACCATAGAGTACCTCTCTTCATATATATCTGTTTCCGCGAGCATTTATGTTTTGCAGTTTTCTTCAAAGTCATAACATTCTCTGTTGTTTCCAACGCTATCATCACTATCTTTGCTGTTCAAAAATGATGGTTTTAAATGGAATTGGAAAGACCATATCACAAATCATAAGAGTGGTATCTTCAGCACACATTTTACAATAATATGTATACATTGGTTTTAGTATATTTGATTTCAAATCATACACGATGTATATTTTCATTGGTTATTCTGATTTGAAATGGCTTCCTGCACGATTTTGATTGTATAGAAACACTAAACTTACATTAGATACTCTCATATTGTATTTGTAACAATATATCGAAAACCAAAAAATGCATAATACTGTTTTCTTTTAAACAATAACAAACTCTTCAATAATGTAAACAGCTTAAGTGTTTGTAAATATTGTAATATATATTATAACACTTAAGCATGAAACTGTTTGGTGTAATCTTAATTTGGAAAGCGCTTGTTAACACAGTGCCTTTATGTCGTGTTACTCTAACAACATCTAGATATCAATGTCGCACTCGTGCAAACAAATACTGCTCGCTGTTTATCCTACAGATCAATCTGTAAGGATATCGGTGGCAGCCAGCCCCATTACCGCGTTTGAAGCTGCTGTGTGTAAATAATTTCATTTTAGAGGAGAGAGAAAATCAATAATGTCCGCTCGTTATTTTCTTTTGGTAAATTGCAACTTTCTTCCCTAGACCTGCTGTTTTAATTCAATGATTGCAATGTAGTATCATATGTGTTTTGGTGATAAACGGTGATTATGGCTTCCACAGAATGAATGGAAATGTATCCTCTACCGTATCATCAACAAGAGAATTATTGTAGAGTCGTATCAGTAAAGCACATGTTAGACCTGAAATAAACCTGAAAATGTATATTTCTGTTTGGGGGTGTTTTTATAAATGTTAGGAATATTGACACATTCTTGTCATCTGGTATAGTAATAACTACGCATTATGACCTCTGGGTAAGTAAGGTAGTGTAGAAGTTGATATTTTTAAAACAGTAACATATCAAATTTCGTAATAAAATTGCGTATCAAAATTTTGACATGTCTACATATCATGAAGACGTTAGGAAAATGACATACGATGGACAGGTATGCAATCTTTCCCATGTTTTACTCTTGTGATCTGTCCGCAAACATGCATACTCTATAATCATTGCCAGCACTGAATGCTCTCTCACCCTCTACGATAAATCGAACGTTTTAGATGAAAAGCAAAAATGATATTCACAACATTATAACCTTCGGGTAACATTAAAATCTCAAATACACATTAAAACTGAATTTTGTATATCAAGACTTCAAAGCAAAGTGGGTTTTTTTTAATGCATATTTTCACTTGTGAATCCGCAGATTAGAGCATTATACGAACTGTAGTGTCTCATATTAAGCATATCTTACACTCAAAAGTATTTTTGTTGACAGTATACACTAAAGAACATTACACTTCCATCTGTTAAAATTGGTTATAATTATTTATGTCATATGCATACTTTCAATTATCCATATAATGTATTGTGTACTTGACATAACAATATATTGATTCACAAAATAAATTGCATTAGTTATATCTTGCATGCTACCCTATCGACTAAATTTCATTTCCAGTGGATGTGTAAAAGCAGTCGGCTGTGAGTAATTATAAGATAATATAAGGACCTCAAACGAATCCCCGGTGAAATTAAGCTACAGCATCTGTGAATGATGGCCACAGCGAGGTATACTCATTCAGTGTTTCACCAATACTGACATTCATACAAAGTGATAGACTTTCCAGGTTTGTTGTCTCGCCTTCTAGATAAGCCTGCTGTGGCCTTTGTACTTCTAGAAATGGACAGCAGTGCTGACCGTGATGGGTAATTCCAAATTGAAACTAGACTTTTGACGATGAAGAATTGTATTACCACGTATATAAAGTTCCTGTTTGATAAGATGTATGTTTGGCAAGACTAGAACGTGAAAGAAAGCCCCTATAAACGTACGTGTTCATGAGGAAGGTGATTTGTAATTGCATTTTGTTTTCCAATCAACTGTAATGAGTCCTTTTACAATTTGTAGAAAACAAGTTAATGTTTTGGAATATAGATAGAGACTATCCTGTACGCTAAGGAAATGGAGTAGAAGGGAGGGAAATGATTTGAGTTATTGACTTCGTGATGCTGGTGCTGCTGGTTTAATCCAGGAAATTGGTCACGATAGGATCATTCGGCTTAATTTCGTCTCTGTCATAAACATCATTGAAGTGTAAACATGGTTTCGCTGTATTCTGTTTGAAGGACTCAGAGTTTTGATTCATTCAAGATAGAATACCAGAAAAGACATAAAAGAAAGAAAACACGAAGAAAAGAAAAAGGCTCAAAATAAAATAAAATTCGCTGAAAATACAAAAGGTATATTTTCTTTCAATTATAGAGAATTTTGTTCATCAAATTGAAAAAGCGATAAAATGACAGTAGGTTAGCAGTCACACCTACAGCTGTTCTTCTCATATATGTATCTTAAACTTACTGTTAATGATTGCATTTACCTACATTACTTAATTTGTTTATGAATATGAAGGTGGAGGTAGGCATTGGTATAGATATACCATCAGTTAAATTTCTTGCATTAAAAATAAGTCCTTTCAGGTCGACTTGAACTAGCAGAAAAAGTAACTTAAATTGTAATTATACAATCTTTTAATCTTTAATTTTACTATGAATTTAGTACATTTCCACCAAGACTTAACACATATCAAGATTAGATAAATGATAGTAAAACCAGTTTCTTTGATCATGTATGCCCTATGGACAGAATCGTCAGATCACCCCTTGTTCATCGATATATCATCGATATTTAATATGCAATTTCATGCATCAGGTGCTACATTTATAGCCGACAACGACGGAAAATTGATACGGTCACCAAGCAGATACTAATAAGTATGCTTTCATTTCTTGCTGGACATGGAACCAATCACAGAACGGAACACCAAGTGATTTCTACAAGTCGACATGACAGAGATTGCGTATGATAAGACATTGTCAGACAAGTTTTATCTTGTTGGGCAACATAGAGCAATGTATCTCCTTCATTTCTAGTAGATTACTGTAATTACTGGTTACAACTAAAGCAATAAACTTTCTAGAAAGAAAGAAAATAAGATATTAAATCGTTGGAATTTGTGTTTCATCTGTCATGATTTGCGTTGACAGCTGGCTGTTTACGTGTGATGCTTTGTTATTGAGGATACGAAAATATTTCCGTAATTACTCGTTAATTGTAATTAATTGTATCATATTTATGTATCGAGATATTTGAAATGAGTTCTACATGACGAAATAAGTAAAATTCCTGGCTATTCATATCTGACCACAATGGTCGAATATTCATGATAGGAAACCATTGTTCATAACTGAAATTGGCACCTCGACCTTTGACTCCTCTCTGATCAATTCTAACAGAGCTGCCAGACAAGCAGTCTTTTGAGAAATCAAAACCATAGAAATAATATTCTTTCCTAATCTATAAATGACATATCAGAATGGAACATGCTGTGTATCCCTGGCAACACAATGGCCCTAGTCGTTATCAAGAGCCGGCGTGAGATGGTGATAAATTGCACTGTACTGCTGTCTTCGTCGTTAGCCGAGAAGAGACAGGGCTCAAATGATACTTTATTCCCCCGCTCAACATCCAACTCGATGCAAAGCCACACGAAAACAATACCGTGTATGCGTTATAAAAAATGTTCACGTATATCTGTAGATGTATTGGATATCGGGAAAATTGAGTGAATGAAAGGCAAACATTATAAATGCGGAAGGATATTAAAAAAATAAGAACATATAATAATTATTTGACGGTAAGAAATTAATCATATATTATTGTGAAAGTCACTAGAAATTAAATGACGATATGCAAACTCTATTAAATACACTTTTCGTCAAACGAAATGATCTTATCTACGGTAATAGGTCGATCACAAGAATGACAATAATCCCGTTTAAAATGATCTGTGATAAGGAAAGGTTTACAAATTATATTAGGGTTTTATTTGTTTGACGACAATTAGTTTGCCTGTTGTTTCCGTTGTTGTATACATTGTTCTAATTTCAGAACATGGCATTACTAACTTGGACATGACAGATGTCATTGATAAAGCAAAAGATGCTTACTCTTCCGGAACATCTGGTTTTATTATCTTTGTACTTGTACTCGAGTATCCATGTAAATATTTCTTTTGTCCAT